TGCTGGGAAGGTGAGGAATGGCCAGGACAAACTTTCTCCTGCTGAGTTGGTTCTTAAGTCCAGGTCTTTAATTTCTGACTTGTTTCTTCTCTATAATTACCACTATTGGAAAGATGTATGTTCTGTAATTCCTGAAATTAGGGACCGATATTCTGAACTACCTTACATCTGAGGGAATTAGGAGAGCCTCCAATGTCGGCCTGCTGTTCCCTCTTCTCATTGCACTTCTGCAGATAAGGTCCATTGGGTGGGCAGCCCTCCTCCTCATACTGACCAGGTGCACTTCCTGCTTGTGTTTTAGAAGCGGCTTCCTATTCTCTTTGGAATTATTCATAGAAGCTAATCACACCCTTTTGTGGGAATCCGGTGACACCTCACCTTCTCTGTAATACAGTGCCTGCCTCCATGGCCTCTGCTGGTTCACTGTGCCTTAGTGTAACATGTGTGGCCCGCAGTGTCCTCCCCCTTGGGCAGTTGAATGCATCACCGTGTACCTTACATTGCAAACCAGTGAGGATAGGAGTCATGTGTTCAGCCAACATGATAACACTAAGGAATGAAGTTCATCCTCACCTGCAGGGTAACAGGAAGGGATTGAAATACTATGTCAGGGAAAAATCAAACCTTCTAAACCCCAGGCAAGAGTAATTCTTATGAAATTTTCTGTCCCCTGTCAACCATTTCTTATGATTAACTACAAGTTTAGAGGATGAGGGAGGAAAGCATGAAAAAGTTTTGAGGTAAAAAATTGTTTCTGTTAAGTTATCAAAACCAATCTTTTAAATTTTGTTATATAATACATAAGAGCTAATTTTGAATGCAAGACTTTTCAGACAATATTTTCCTTTATGAGCTATTAAAACAAGAGCATGATGAAATCTTATCATTTTGACATTGCCTTTCCGGGCTCTTGGCAATATATCCCTTGCAAAATGACCATTCTGGTGTGTGGACGTTGTCAGTCATTCTATATCCGTGATATCCCTGGACCTGGTAAAAGTGGATTCTGACAACCAGTGAATTTTACTGTTAGTGTGATACCTAGTCAGGATACGGCTAATCAGAATGACAATGAAGAAATATAAAATAGAAAGTAAGTCTCAATTAAATGTTCTAAATACTGTATATGATATTACATAGAGAACTGAGTCTGTTTTCCTCTCTACAAATCTACTAGAACACATATATTCACATGATTATTTTTTCTCTTGAAAGTACAACTGTTTTCAGGGACCAGGCACTCAATCTACCTAGTGTCTGCAGACCAAGGCTAATCTCATTTTTAGTAACTTCTTTTGCAATTGCCTGGGAAACTGGTGGCACTTATTTTTGAATGATATTAATAATGATAGATTTGAGAATGGTTTGGAACTGGAAAGCTTGAAAAATCTGTTATTAAATACTTAGATTTGGTAATTGAAATAAAAAATACAGAACATCAAGAAATTCCATCTTGAGCCAGGTGTGGTGGTGCATGCCTGTAATCCCAGCACTTGGGAGGCTGAGGCAGGAGAATCGCTGTGAGTTCAAGACCAGCCTGGGCTACATAGCGAGTTCCAGGTCAGTCTCAACTACATAGGAGACCCTGTATCAAAAAACCAAAGAAAAAAAAAAGAAATTCCATCTTTGTGAGTCATTTCTAGATGAATACTGGCAATTTTCTTTGTATTTTATCCTAATATGAAGCTTAGAAGTTAAGAAAGTAAGGGGAAATACCAAAGGGTTACACACCACAAACAGGCTGAAATTCAGAATGTTCATCAAGATGGTGAAGCATCTGTTATTCTGAACTCACTAACCTTAGGTATTTACTGCCACATAGTCAAGGGCAGAGACAGACTTGAGACTGAACCAGATAGAGGACTGAAGTTGCGTTACTGTCAACAAAGCTAGGACTTTTGAAGGGTTGTATGCTCAAGTACAAGATGCGTGAGAAAAATCATTTGCATGGGAAATGCAAAGCACATTTTCTTATATCAACTTGGGTTCAGGGTAGGAAGAAAATAGCTATGAACTACAAGCTTACTTTTATGGGTTTGAAAACAATTCACAGCATCTCTCTGGTAAGAAGTTTGTGTGCTGAAATTAAAATTAATTAAATGAAATAGTTTCTGTTATTCTGTTTCTGCAAATGAAGCAGTAGCTTACGCAAGAGCGTCTTGTTTTGTAGATAATGGTGATAAATTCTGGACAAAATATAATTAAGAACTGTGTGAAGGTATAGGAGTGTAACCCAGGGCAATTAGAAACATGGTAGAGTCAATGCTTGTAAGAAGAAAATGGCATTGGATTGGCTTCTAGATTTGTGTTTCTTTTTTCTGTAAGAGTAGCCCCTTGTTTACCTGCTATGAAGCAGCTCAAATTTAGCAAGAAACCTACAAACAGACTAATGAGGACTTAGAAAAAAGAGTTAAGATTACCTAAGAGCTGGAATATCAGCCAAGAATGCAGGAGGAGCCACTGGAGGGGAGCACCAGGTGCTGCTAAGAAACTCCACCTGTCTCTGGGTGACTACTGAATAACACATGTGCCCATGAAGTTTAGTGAGGGGTACCACAAATAAGTAGCTATTTCAGCTGCAGCCCACTATGTCACTAGGGAGACATAGAGCTTGCATGTTAAAATGAAATAAAAAATAATATTCCTCATTGGACCATAATAGAATCTAGAGTCTTTATATCACTCAATCTCTAATCTTTAATTTCTAGACATTCAAAGAAACAGAATAATGTCATCCATATTCATTGGAACATATAATTCATAGAGATCGATGTTGAGGTGTTTCAGATGTTTTTAATCATCTGGCAAGAATTTTAAAGCTCGAGCCGGGCATGGTGGTGCACGCTTGTAATACCAACACTCGGAAAGGCTGAGGGCCCGACGATCGCTGTGAGTTCGAGACCAGCCTGGGCTACATAGTGAGTTCCAGGTCAGTCTCAACTACATAGTGAGACCCTGTCTCAAAAAACCAAAAAGAAAAAAAAAAAGCAAAAAAATTTTACAACGATTTTCATAAAAACTCTCAAAGATGTAAAGCAGAACATGTTCACAATGAATTGAAATATAAAAATTCTTAGTATAAAACTAGATATACCAAATACCAACACTCGGAAAGGCTGAGGGCCCGACGATCGCTGTGAGTTCGAGACCAGCCTGGGCTACATAGTGAGTTCCAGGTCAGTCTCAACTACATAGTGAGACCCTGTCTCAAAAAACCAAAAAGAAAAAAAAAAAGCAAAAAAATTTTACAACGATTTTCATAAAAACTCTCAAAGATGTAAAGCAGAACATGTTCACAATGAATTGAAATATAAAAATTCTTAGTATAAAACTAGAAATTTTAACTTGAAATGAAAACTCTTTAACTGAAAATAAAATATCAAAAATAGAAAACCCCCTGGATTGGCTTTAAAAGAAATCTGGGAACACAGAAGAGTCAGCGAAATTGAAGATAGGTTGATAAAAATTATCTCATTTGAGAAATGCAAAGACTGGATAATTGACCAGAGCTCCAATGACTCTGGGATCATATCCAATCTAATTGGGATCTCAGACAAAGAGGAGGGAATGAAAAACAATATATATTATTGATAATATTAGCCAGATTTGGTAAAAGGTTACATAAATACCTATTTTGAAGAGCCTCACAAAAATCCCAAGAAGTTTTAGTAGGAACATAACCATGCCCAAGCGTCACAGTCCAACTGCTGAAAATCAAATATAAAGAGTCTTGAAAGCAGGAGCAGGAGAGAAACAGACAGCACAGAGAGCAACAGCAGTACGGGAGTACTGACTTAGCAAGATGAGCGGCAGTATGGAGGGTGGGCCTCTAAAATGCCCAGAGGGAAAAGGAGAACTCTATATCCCTTCTCGAAGAAAGACAGCATAAATATTCAGCTAGAAGAAAACAAAGAGAATTCCTGGATAGCAGACTTGCAGCACAAAAAGACATTAAAGGAAGTTTGCCAGGCTGCTGGGAAATAATGGTAACTAGAATCTCAGGAAGTATTTTAGCAAAGAATGCAGAGCATGGGAAATGGCCAATGTGTGGACAGATATAAAACATTATTCTATTAAAATTTCTCTAAAATATATATAACAATTTAAAAACATGATAATGTGTGTGTAACATAGTTAAACTGAGTGCGTGTGGTAATGGGCATGAACAGGAGGGTGAATTGAGCTGTGTAATTGTATGAATCTTACATCTTATGTGAAATAGTGCAAAATTTATATTGCTCGTTAGTCTTTAGTAAGAGTGGAAAAGTTCTAAGTCTAATTTGTAAGAAAATATAGCCCATAGTGACATGTTTGATGGAAGCAACACTAGCTACCTGCCTTTCCTGTGACAACACAGCTGTTCACTTCCTTCCATTCCATTTTTGGTGTGTTGGATGTCTTGCATGGCCTTAGCTGTGACTCGGTCACACTACCCTCTTACAGCCTGCACCCAGCTATCTGAAGACGAGAGTGGGCATGGTGAAACATCGTGCCCATTCTTCACTGCCTTGCACCAGAAGCGGTGCAACACTTTGTCTGGTATGCGAGAGCAGTAGGTCACACACTCTCACAGGGATCCTCAAGGTAGAGACAGTGTTGCCTAAGTGTATTCAAGACAGTGACAATTTTGAAAGAACATTTAGTGCTACCTCTGCCACAGGCCCGATTAGCAGATGAAAAATACATAAGAAAAAACACTCAATGGATTGACTAAAATTTACAAGCTCAGGAAAAGAAATAGGAAAAGTGGGTCAAAAGTAGAACAGAAACAATCTCCTTTCCTTATTGTAATACCTAACATCTGAGATTCCAGTTCCACAGCAGACGTGGGAGAAATATGGAAAATGACTTCATGTTAGAGAATATCTCATCAAGTGAATCAAAGATTTTTTGTTTTGTCTTAGAAATTCTGAGATACGCAGGGCTTTCTTGGAAAAGACTTTTTGCCTCCACTGGTACTGACTGAGGTCTCACATGAGGACTGTTTCGTTTATCACTAGGCACTAGACGAACCAGCCCAGGCTGAAAGTGTGTCCCGGGACAGCTCCGTAGACCTACCCCTGGAGGTAATGACTCTGGTCACCTGCTTTTGGTTTGCAGTCTGCAACTCGGTGCTAACCCACTCCCTGGTTTCAATTCTTCCAGTTCTGTTTCCCTGCACAGCTCAGGCAGCAAACTGAAGAGCTCTGTGCTGCCATTGATAAGGTCTTACAGGAATCCTTGTCTATGGTAATGCCTTAGACTAGAACACGCTACTCAAACATTTGCTTGGCTTCTCTTCATTTCCCTATGTTTAGTATGATGCCTCTCAGGCCTGTCTTTTCTTTTTCTTTTCTCCCCCTCCCCCAGCATTCTTCTGATTCTCCTTCAAGGTCTCCACAGCAGACATTGCTGGGTTCTGAAACAATCAAAGTATGTATATATTTAATATCATTTATTGAACCGTAGGATTTTCTCAACTAATGGTTTTAAAACTGCAAGCCAAGGTCTAATAGGAAATTGGGAATCAATTTAACGGTCAATCTTTGGGGCGTTAGTAGAATATCAGATGCTATTGCAAGTAGCGTATAGGAACTGGTAACGTTTGTCACAATTTGTTTCCATGTACACAGTTAGGTATCTATATAAAGGGTTGCAAAGTAAAAGGTATTTCTTTCTGTGAGTTGAGTCCCAAGCAGTTTGGAAGCCAGCCTACTAGATTGCGTCCTTGGATGTTGCACTCTGACAAACTTCATGTAGAATTTGTGGTTTATCTCAACTGTAGCTTAAAGACTAATGTAACTTACCATTGTAATTTGTAATTCAGAATTGTCCAAGTGAGAAATGAAGTAGACTAAAGTAGCATTAGTCTGATACCTTTGTCATAGTATTATTTCTGGATTTTTTAAATTGACTGAATTTATTTAATTGTTCTTTAATTCAAATGGACATAACCCTTATATTTTAGATTATTAGAATACTGCTAGATTTTTTTTGTTGGAACTACATATGTAAATGTTTCCTTCATATAGTGTAGCCATGTTCATTTTTTTGGATAAAATTTTACATTTCTACTATTTTCTCAATTACTTATTATAACTTTCAAATTTCAAAGAGCGTGTGATTCTTCCTGTATTGAAAATAATTGTTTTATTTTTCTTTTGGGGTCAGCCTTATTTTATTTTCTTTCTTGAAATTAATATAAGTATTTTTCCAGGTCCTTTTAGAAAAATGAAACATTGTGTGGCTGAAGTAGGTCTTAAATATACAAAATTGCTTATAAATAGAAGAGCAATCCTAATTATAGCTGGAACATTATAGGCAAATATCCATAAGTGGTAAAATAGAGACTTGGTAAGAAATCATTAGTATTAAAAATTATACTTTAGCAGAGAGGACTCACAAATAGATATAGTTTTTGTATTTGAAATATGTTTTGTTGTATATGCTTTAAGTCTTTTATTAGACAATTAGGGTGTGTCAAAAATAACTATATCAATTTTAAATTATGTATTTTCTGATTTGTTTATTGAACATGTAAAAACTCTGTATTATATTAAATATAATTTGAATTAGGTTGAAACTATATGTGAGTAATTTAGATCATTGCTTTGTTTAACAAATACTTAGCAGTCACGTTCTTAACAAAAGCAGTATTTTAAGCTACTAAATTTTAGGCAATTTTATATTTTTTGCTTTGTTCTTTGACAATTTTTGTACATATGTATGAGGCGCACTGTCTGCTGCAATACCATGTGCATTAGTGATCAACTCAGTAATTAGTGTGACTATCACTTTGAACTTTTATCGTTACTTTATAATGAGCACATTCATAAACCTCTCTTCTTCCTGCTTTGAGATATGTAATGTAATAGCGTTAGTTATATGCACCCATAGGACAGCAGAAGCTGTTTTTTCTCAAGTGATCACACTGTACCCCTCCTCCACCTTGTCCTTTGTGTTTCCTCTCCCATCCTTCTGCTTCCAGCTGCTGTGATTAACATTTTTAGATTTCACTTAGGACAGAGATCATCATTTCCTGCCTTTCTGGGCTCAGCTAGTTTCGTGTAATGTAATGCACTTCAGCACATTGTTCCAAATAACAGAATTTTGTGTTTTTTCGCCGGGCAGTGTATATTTACCATGTTTTCTTTTCTCATTCATATAATGATGAACATGTAGGTTAGTTCAGTATCCTAACTGCTGTAAATAGGGAATTCATCAGCCTGAGTGTTTCATTAAGGTATTATTTCTGGATTCTTTAACTGACTGAATTTATTTCATTGTTTATCTTGGTACCAGGATAGGTACTTTTTCAGATTCTTTTAAAAAAATAAGAGTGCCAGAGATTTAGCTCAGTAGTTCCACCACCTGCCTCGCAAGCACAAGGACCTGAGTTTGATCCTTGGTTAAAGAAAAAAAAAAAAAAAAGAAATAACACATGTGTCTGAAGTAGGTTTTAAATATACAGAATTGCCCATAATTAGAAGAGCAATCCTAATTTTCAACTGGAACATTATAGGCAAATATCCAGTAATCAATATTCAACATGAAGATATTATACTTCATCAGAGAAGACACACAAATTATCATATAAGATGGAAACACTAACGATTCAGTTACAATTGATAATTTAGTACTTCTCTAACAATCTAAAAGATAAGGTTTGAGTTAAAGAGCAGTGGGGTTGTTGGATCCTATGGTAGCACTCTTCTAACTTTTTCCAAGAAGCTCCATGGTACTTTCCATAACAGCTATACTAATTTGTAGTGTCATCAACAGTGAGCAAGTTTCCTCCTTCACGTCCTTGCTAACGTGCATTATTTATCTTCTTGGTAAAAGCTCTTGTGGTGTGAGGTGGTCACTGTGGTTTTTATTTCCCCCAGGATGAGTTATACTAAGCATTTTCACATATCTGTTTACCATTTGCAAGTTTTCTTTTGAGAAATGTTTATTACAAACACTAGTCCATTTAAAAGATTGAGTTGTGTTTTTGCTGTTGAGTTGTTTCTTATACCTTCTGGTTAGTACTGTTTTCAGATGTGTAGTTTGCAAATAATTTACCCCATTGTGTAGGTTCTTTATGCTCTTGACTGTTTCCTTGGCTTCAACAAATACTGATTAACAGACATACTTATTTACTATATACCCAGGGCTGTGAGGCACAAGGAAGACAACAAGATAGGCACACCAACCCACAGGTTGGTTAGCATAAATATGGGATAGAATTCAAGCTGAGTATCAAACATTGAAACAAGCCTGCCACAGGGCTAATGGCTTTCAGAGCTGGGATGGTAGGTAGGCATTACCACACCCTGACCTATTTTCCTATCAATTTTAAATCTCATAAAATTCTTTAACATTCTGAACTTTTCACTTTCTGTATGTACACAATTTTTTTGAATCTTGTCTGAATTTTTATGTTTATACTTTTTCTCAATCTTTTCACTCAAAATTATATTCTCAAGTTACATCCACTTACCTACAAATGCCCCAGGTTTTCCTTTATGGCAAAGCAGTGCTCCATTATGTATAAATGCCACATTTCTTTATCCATTCATCTGTTGATAGAACATATGCACCATTTTCAAAAGGTTGTTATTATAAATTGTGCTGCTATGAGTACGAGTATGCATGTATCCATATAATATGATGACTTTAATTCTTTTTGGAAGACACTTAGAAAGGGAATAGCTTGGTCTAATGCAATTTTTAGCTTTAGTTTTTTTGAGGAATCTCCACACTAATTTTCATAGTGGTTGTGTTATTTTATTTGCTTTTTCTCTTACAACCTCACCAGCATTTGTTATTTTTGATTTCTTGACAATAGCCATTCTTTCTGGAGTAAGATAATATCTCAGTGTAGTTTTCATTTGAATTTCTTGAGTAGCTAGCAGTGTTGAACATTTTTTGATGCATTTATTGGCCATTTGTACTTTTTATTTTGAGTAGTGCACATTCATTTCAGTAGCCTATTTTTGATTGGGTCTCTTATTTATGGGGCTCTATTTTTTTGAATTATTATTATATTTTCTAGATGTTAGTTTCCTGTCCAAGGAATAGCTGGCAAAATTTTTCTCATTTTATTAATTGTCTCTTCACTCTTTTGGTGGTTTCATTTGATGTGCAGAAGTTTTAAAAATTAATATAATCCCACTTGTTGATTCACAGTGTTATTTCTTGTACCATTGGGGTTCTGTTCAGAAAGTCCTTGCCTATTCCTATGTTTTCAAGAGTTTTACCTATTATATCTTCCAGCAGTTTACTTTGTAAGTATGTATTTAAGTGTGTAATTTACTTTGACATTTAGGTTTTATATCCATTTTTATTTTAGTTTAATACATGGTGAGATATGTGGGTCTAGATGCAGTCTTCTGTATGTGGATATCCAATTTTCCCAGCCCAATATATTAAACAGGTGATCTTTCTTATAATTTATGTTTTTGGCCCTTTTGTCAAAGATCAAATAACTGAATGTGCCTGGGGTTGTTTTTACTTCCTCTGTTCTGTTCCATTGATATGTCTGTTTTTGTGCCAGTGTGATGCCGTTTTAGTCATAGTAGCTTTGTAGTATAAGTTCAAATCTGGGATTTTAATACCTTCACATTTGCTCTTGTTACCCAGGATAGCTTTTGGTATTCTAGGCCCATATGACTTTTAGGATTGTTTTCTCTAGATTGTCTGTGGGAAACACTGCCAGTTTGATTCGGATTGCATTAAATCTATATATCAGTGTGGGAATAGCTGTTTTTTAAGTATTGGTTCTGCCTATCCAGAAACAAGGGCTGTCTTTCCATTTTCTAAAGCCCTCTTTGATTTCCTTTTTCAGAATGATGTGATTGTCATTGCAGAGGTCTTTCACTTCCTTGGTTAGGTTAATTCCTAAGTATTTAATTTTTCTAACTGCTATTATGTATGCTATTTTCCTAGTTTTCTCTGAGTTCATTCTTAATATATAGGAATGTTATTGATTTTTGAATGTTTATTTTATATCTTGCAGTGTTGCTGCATTTGGTTATTAATTCTAGGAGTCTTTTGGTAGAATTTTTTGGATTTCGTAAGTACACAGTAATGGCATCTGCAAATAATTGTACATTGAGTTTGTACTTTCCTATATGTATTATTTTCCTGTTGTTGTATTTCTTTTCATCCTACTTAACTGATAACACTGCCTGACTCGATCTTACTGGATATTTCGGCATTGTTGGGTTCACTGTCTCTTTGTAGGATATCTTTCAGAATATTTTGCAGTGTTGGTTTGGTGGTCATTAATTTCTTTAGATACTATTTATCATGGAAAAAGCTTATTTCTCCTTCAGTTTTGAAATATAACTTCACAACATCAGTCTGATTTGGAGGTTGTTTTCCCTTAGGGCTTAAAATACTTCAATGCCAAGCTCCTCCTGCCTTTAACTTTTGTGTTGAGAAGTCTG